GACACATCGTTACAATTAACAGACAAGTCACCATGACTTACTTTCCTGTTTGCATCCAAGACACTCTGTCCCTTCTTTGACCCAGGCATTGTTGAACTTGACCCAATTCCAAAAACGTTCCAGATATTGCTTGTTCAAAGAGGACTTGACCGGCACCAGGAAAGATGAACGGTGACTATCCAAACTTTCACCAACTGTTTGAATCCGCCAGATCTGTTTCTATCGTCAGAAACTGTCAGCCAAGTCTCATAAACCGTTAATGCCCAGCTCTCGCTACGCTCGGGCCCACGCTGTTCCTTGAAGATTTCAGAAACGCTTAGTTATAACGGACGCGAAAACCAAAACACCGATCTGCCGCTTGAGATTTCTTTATTGTTACACCAACATATAAAAAGAATAAGTGAACTAAGGTTTCTGACGATGTTTCACTCTTCTTTCTGAACAGCGACCGATGAGACGATGACTGTCGTATTGATGCCTCCGCGAAAATTGGGGAAGTTGGTTTGAGCAAACAACCAAGAATTGATCGTTCAATCTTCAACTCCATTGACAGGTTTCAACCAACATTTCCTGATACAAGTGCAGCAAACGTAACGCAGTTCAAATACAATATGCCACCAATATGATGTGCGTCAGAAAACTTTTTAATTTAATTTAGAAAACATTTAAGGAACATAAATTTTTACTACACCAACGTAGCAACTGAAGTTAACGCTACATTTAGTCGGGATATGCAGTAAAGCCACTCGTATGAGACCAAGAGGAAAATGGAAGGACATATATGTTTATATATTTTGTTTCATATATTATGTTTATATGAAAATAAATTATTATTATTATTATATCCAATGCTGCGAAAGCAGACCTCGAAACATAAGATGATAATAAAATGAGGCCACAGTACATCCTTATGCCTCAGTGACATTGCGGTGCGGCACTCAGAATGATATCCAGCTTCACCCAAGCGTCCTAACTGAATCCAAAAAACAACAACAGGTCATTTCCATTGGACTCGGCCAACTAGTTCAAATGTTAAATCCTCTACCAGCAGCCTACATGCTGTGAACTAAGCCACAACACCCACGAGCAGCTGCTTGTATGGCAATGTGAGAGGACTGAGAAGAAAAGTAGTCGAACTCAGAAACTTTCACACCCACACGGCAAGTAACAATTCTGACTGAAACCTGGCTAACCCCCACTATTATCGACAACGAAATCGGTGCAAGTGATATTGTTCTAATCAGAAGAGATATGGATAACAAGGACGGGGGTAGTTGCCCTATACTTTGACAGGCAAATTAAATGCGTGCATGCAACGGACACACTACTTACTTTACTCCCAGACTCTCCATGTCGTCACTTCATCGTTGGCCATGCCAAGCATTTACTCTGCGACATCTACCGATCACCCACCGAGGAGGCATAGCACAACTGGCTACTGCTCAGCACTATCATAGAGATAAAGGACTCGGGCGATGATCAAACCACTGTAGGTGGAGAATTCAATGCCTCATTCTTGAACCTATGTTGGGGTTATGCTCGGGGAAAATTCGGTCAAAATGTGCTGCAAACCATTATAAATATAGGACTGACTGAGAATGCTGGTGACGACACTAGGTGGGGTCCCAGTGGAAAGTCATCAAAACTATATTATATTCTAACCTGCGACCAACTACCCATCGAAAGTTCACGATCATGACTCCACGAGGAAGTAGTGACCACGCAGTTAGCGGATTCCAACTTGTTCTCCATGAGCACTTGCAGTGGGATGCTACGCGGCCTTGCCTATGCTAGCAAAGCTGAATATGCGAAGGCCTTTGTCCGACACAGAGTGGCCCGTAGAATGGGCTGGGTTATCCGTGGAGGAACGGTGAGAATTGGTAAAATTGATTCACACAGCCATCTCAGATAGCCTTACTCTAGTCACAACACAGCCGAAGGAAAGGTCTCTATGTCTGAAGGGAGGCCCGTGAAGTATTCTGCAGGCAAAGCGGAGGGCTTGATCTAAGTAGTGAGTATCCAGGAGTCAGACCGATCACGATGCACACCTGGAACTCAGGAACTGACACAACATAGGAGTCAGGAGTGAACTGAGCTCATTTCGGGTAAACGATGCGAAACACCCTCGGAGAACTCCGAAGGCCTGGACCGGTAACTGTCGGAGAGAGAACCAAACAACCAGTGGTTATGCACCATAGTAGGTCCAAAAAGTCAATATCTCACTGGTTTGTAAATGGCTGAAACACTCAGTTTAGCCTTCCCAAGCAGTTAAAAAGCCGTGTGAGTGTAGGCCAGAAAGGTAGTAATACTATTTTACTGAAGGAAAACTTAGTGACTACACTCCAAATAAAACCGGTAATGGTACTAGGAAAGTTACAGAAACTCACCTGGAAAGTCTCCAGGTTGTGATAACATCAGGGTATCTGTTGTTAAACAGTGCTCTGAAGCTCTCTGTGTGCCCTTATGCGACCTGTTCCAACACCTACTGGATTCAGGGAAACTGCCAAGGGCGTAGAAAAAAGGGAAACTTTCTTCGGTTTTCAAGAGTGGGGACAGGCCAAATCCCACCAGTTATGGACCAGAAGCCCTACTCCTAGTGGCATCATTATAACTGTTGATCACGTCACGGAACACCTTGACGGGACTAATAGACTCCATGAAGCCCAACAAGGTTTCAGGAAAGGCAGATCCTGTGTGACAAACTTGCTATCGGCTTGTGACGATTGAAAATCATGGTGGGATATGAATAATCTGGTCCATGTAGTTTTCCAGTGCTTTGAAAAGGCTTTTGATACAGGTCACCGTGGCCTTCTTCAACACAAAATAAGTCATGGATGGAGGACTTCCTGGATGAGAAGAAATTCTGCACTAAGGTCAGTTGTATCCGATCATCCTGGTACAGCTCGTCAGTAAGGGAATCTCAGGGTCCTAACCTAGTGCAATTGATCTTTCAGATTTTTGTCAATGGCTTACCGTGCCGTATAAGCTGCTCGACTCTTCATTGCGCTGACAAAGTAAAGATTTGGAGGGTAAAAAGTACCTGGAAGACTCAAATAGTCCGCAAACCGACCTAATGCTTCTGGAAGACTGAGCGGTGGTCAGTGGTATGACTCTCAGCTTTAAAAAGTGTAAATTAGTTCAGTTGCGCTGCAGGATTCAAGTTACACCCTGTGGAATGAAAGCTTGTCCTGCAAAACTTTTTGGAGTGACTTAGGTCTATTGCTGACGGAAAAATGTACACAAAGGCAAGTTACATGGGGATATGCGGTTATACACTTTATACATATACAGTTAAGTGCACTGACTCCTGAGCTCTTAGCGAGGCTGTCCAAAACGCATGTCCGATCATGGAGTTCACAGTATCACCGAACCTCACAGCACAGAAGAAAAGCAAACCATTTGGAAATAGTTCAAAGATGGGCGACAAAAGGGGTGATGGGTCTGCGAAACAAACCATAAAATGAACGGCTAAAGAAATTCGGTATTTTCTAATTTAGCTAAAGTTGGCTTGGAGGGACCTGATCACCACCTATAAGATTATAAATGACCAGAATCACATAATACAAAGGTGATCCGCCATTAAAAACGCATGGGCTTCCTGTTGTAATCCGCGTAAGATGACTCACCAGAAGGTGAAGACACGAGTGCTCTCTCATTTCTTTTCGCTGCAAGATTTGGTCCCTGGAACTTTTACCGGTAGATGTAGTTGCGGCATCGTCCGTGGACAGCATTGAGCAAAGGCTGAACAACCATGCAGAGACACAAGCACTGTATCCAAATATTCTATCCCTTAAAATCTCATAAACTGTTAACGAGTAGACACCTAAATTCATCGTTTTACTTGTTCACATCCTCTTTAGTCTTACTCTTCTGCCTACTCCATTATAATGTTATTGCCGATATATATATGTATATATGGATTTCATATTTCATTAGCTTTTTGTCTTTACTTTTTCTTTCTTTTTTCAGTCCACAAAACCTACACTAATTATATCTGCTATTACTATAATTATCTTTTTTTTCTCGTCGATACCAAGTGACTAAAATCGAAAGGATCAACCGTTCCCACAGCAGCAACACAATATTAATACATTACATACGACAAATTGCATATAATCAAGCGTAGCACCACCCCTGTTGGAGTCAACTAAAGCTACGACAGTCGAGTTGCGGGACGGAATACGCAGTTTACCGGAGACAAAGAACCTTTACCTCACAATCAAGAAGCAAGAAAAAAGAAATCAAATTGGTTTATACGAGCTAGTAAAATCTATATTGGATATTAGATATGATGTACTTGAGTGTGACGTCATTTTACTTCTTTACATTCTCTCCCGTCTTACTCTCCTGACAACTTATTAATATTATAATTACTATTATTATTATTACTATTACCGATATATATATTATTCTTCAAACTTCATGAGCTGACTGTTGTTACGTTTCCTATTTTCGTTTCTGTCTCTTAGTCTGAATAGCTTCACTAATTATATCTATTATTATTATTATTACTATTATTATTATTATTACTATCTCTTTTCTCTTGTCGACAATACCGAAGGACTAACTGGCGAAAGGATCAACTCCAATCACAGTAGTAACAGTCTTAACATACCTCATACTACAAACCACATATAATTAATCCCAGCACTACTCCCTTTGGAGTCAACCAAAGCTACGACAGTCGAGTGGCGGGACAAGCTACGCAGAAGTTTACCGAAGATCAAGAACCTATACCTCACAATCAAGAGGCGAGCACAAAGAAATCAAATTGGTTTATACTAGCTCGTAAAAACGATATTGGATATTGGATAGAATTCTTGCGATATCAAACCATGTCCCATTCGAGAGTCCCTCATATCAGTTGGAATTATTCTAGTGAAGAATGCAGACAATCTTATCAGTATTTATACGCCTTCGGACAAAAATGCCTAAGCAATATACAAATTTTACTGCCAGAGTCAAAGATATCACGTTGTTTAAAGCTATTGGACTAACTCACCGGTTTTAAAAATATGTACTGTGTTACTGCGCAGATATTCAAACATAATTGGATGAACTATTATTCATGTACTTCTTCCTATCCCTACTATTCTTAGCAAAGGAAGTGAGACATATTCATGGCAGCATGATTGATGAAACAGAATTACCAAGCGTTTCAAATCTCAACAGTCCTAATATATGCAAAGTTTTATTCGTGAATACGAATGCTACAACAGGATATAGGGCAGCGTTTCAAGAAATCGGTCAACACAAGTTTCTTGAAGAGATGATTGCTTTCACAAATGGTAATGAAACTTGCAGAATGTTAAAACTATTTCACAATAGATTTTCCTGCAAATTTGATCAGGTTTAATAAGGATATTCTCTCAGAATACTTCAGATTAGATGGCTTGCTGGATACTGAAATCCATTCTTGTGCACTAATGTTTTATCAACGTCTTGGTGAGTTATACGAAGTGTCTCCAAGCGATGTATCTTTCGAAATAGTTGATCAATATTTACAAGAGCTTACGATTTGCATCTTAAAATTCGGAACTAGATATCAGACCTTCGTTTATTCAACTCCTGAACTAAGAAGATGTTTCCGTCTGAATGATCTTGCCTCTCATTCTCTAGACATTTTCGGGGATTTATCTGTGAAGTGGTTTGGAAAGTTAAGTCCAGGTCTTACGTGGTATCTCAACCTACGCAGAAGACTCGAGGTTAGTTGATTATAAGAAGTTTCACAGTGCTTTTATATTTTACTTCACTAAAAAGCCATGCTTTTAAGACATCACTAGTGAATTTTTTAATTCTTTCAGAACTTCAATTCCTAAGATATTGTGATTATTAACAGTATACACATTGCATGATGAACCGTGAGCTCATTGGTTCTGCTCTTGAATATTATAGCGAAATTCCCAATCAGACAACTACAAGGCGAGGGAGTTGAGCAAAAAAATCGGTTACGTTTCAGTAAAATCTTCATCTGTGGCTTCACTCTAATATACATAGCACTTTTTAATACAATACAAAACATTTTTACCAGTCTAATAATCAGTCAGTACAAACATATCAGGGGGGTAATAATTCACCAAGAAAATCAATACAAATTATTCAAGAGTCACAACAAGTGGATTACATAATGTATAATTTGGGGAATATACAGAGTCATTAAGGAATAAGTGGGTGTTCAAGTTGGATAGGTAATGAATGCCTTGTCCCTTCACTACCACTAGAATTTTACGTTAAAAAATAGGAAATACGGTCTAGTTCCCACCTTTCTTCGTGTATCTACCGGTGTGATTTCAACTGCGGAGTCACATACATTCCATATAAGATTAATGAGGTTCATTATCGTATTTCTGGACATCATCCTATATGGCTAAGCGAAGGACAAACAAGACCTGTTTGTAGCTGTTTTAGCACAGTTTGTTGACAGTGAGCATAAAGTTGATGTTGATACAGCATTTGAAGTTATTTGGCACATTCCATATATTCTTGGTCTGGCTTTCCGAGTTCATCTTCTACATACAATTGAAACCATCGAAATCCACCTGAAGAAGCCAAACCTGCGTGCTGAGAAGAAATGAGTGCAGCCACATTCCTTACATTGGCCATCATTGTGTAAATGTAAAAACCTGCCTATTTTGCCCTCCCCTTAAGCCTTTTAAACATTACCATTATGCGAATTATCTTGTTTATATGACTCCACTTTTAGTTGCCTGTTACGTCATACACTCACTTATTCCTTAATGACTCTGTATATTCCCCAAATTATACATTGTGTAATCCACTTGTTGTGACTTTTGAATAACTTGTATTGATTTTCTTGGTGAATTATTATCCCCCTGATATGTTTGTACTGATCGATTATTGATAATAAACTTATCTTCATTAGACTGGTAAAAATGTTTTGTATTGTATTAAAAAGTGCTATATATATTAGAGTAGAGCAAAAGATGTGGATCTAATAGAAAAGTAGATAGAAATAATGGTTATGTTTGTTCTTTGGTTGTCAATTCTGGTAGATCTGTATATTAGGTACATGGCTGTCTAACTGTTTGGGCTGGATAATCCTACTGACATTATTGATGTCGCCCCAACTAGTGAAGAGAGAATATTATACTTACACTATCCCTCTCGGTAACGTTTAGGTTGGAAAATCTGATACGTTCTAAGAATGCTTGGTGTCAACACGCCGTAGTTACAATGTGGTTCTACCTTCAAGATACTTCAAAAAACTGTCTTTGATCTCAAATAGATAGAGAGATTGCTCGTTGACGGTAAAGTGTCTGAATTTCAGGTATGTATGTTTGTGAATTCCCCTCAACCTTCTGCAAGCCAAAGGAATTCTGTTGATAACTCATCCATTTCGCTTAGTATCACGATATTGTCTAATGTTAGGGCAGTTATCCACCCCACCACTTTAGTAATTTTTTCTGTGTCACGCTCTCTTTAGTCGATATTTGGTAATTTTGGAAGTGCTAATTATTGTGTCAGTCTGAAAGGTGAAAAGTTCAAAAACGAAAAAAATGAAGGTAAAACTACTATTTTCCAAACAGTTATTAAAAGTTTGAAAAACAAATATTTTCATTAGTGATTAGCAATTGGTACCCTTCATTATTCAATTAAAGACGCATACTCTGGTAATTCTAACGAAGTTTTGGTGGTTCTGGATTGGTGATGTCCGCAAACAAAATAATTGAGTTGAACTTAAAAATACATATGCCAACAAAGACACCTCATTTCGTGAATAAATTCACCTTACTATACTCTAGCAAGATGGCTGGTGGAAACTTTAGAGTATGTGAAAAATCAAGGTTTAAACAACGCTTAAAAGATCCGTTTGAACTCATGGATTTGTCAAGACAAGTGATAAATTATAGATTCGACGGACGTCATTTTCCTGTTCAACACTATGACCTTAACGGAAGCTGTATGTTACCTATGCGGGTTTATTAGTTTAGATAATCTGAATATTGGTATTTCCATCAAGTATATAAAAGGGCTAATACTGAGGTGCACATTAAATGTCCAATTTTTAATGAACATCCAAGTATACCCGTAGAATGGTGGGTTAGCGGTTGGTTCTCGATCTGGTATAGATTTCAATCAGCCATCAAATGACTCAAAGCTTACAGGGGATAAGTGGATGATGTCTTTAGCATTACGGATATAAACACAGAACTAAGTTATATCCTGAGAATTTTTAACAACGCTCATCGATCAGTTGAATTCGAAATTGAAGTGGAATCAGAATCAGGATTATCCTCTGTAAATGTCCTGCTTTCAAGACGAATACATGGAACGCTATGAAGATAAACTTTCCAAACGCCAAATTTAAATGAACAACTGAAAATCTTCCATAGTCTTGTTGCCATTTTCTCTTGACGAGAATCTATTGCATAAATACTGAAGATACATTGAATAAAGGATTGGAATCCTTAATAAACGCTCTAATCAAAATTCGATATCCACCTTCCTTCATCAACAAATATCCAAAGGGAAAAACCGATGCTCCGAGAAACCTAGTTGCGCCGAAGCAATAACTAATTGTAAATCTGAAATTCAAGAAAGACATAATTAGTGGAGTTCTCCACAGCTTTCTACCGATTGGGACTTTAGGAACATTCTTTGCCGCATCTCATCGCCTCAACTCCACACATGCTCTTGTTCACTAAAATGCTAAAGACAAGATCCCACTGTTGGCAAATTCAGTGTATATTTGCCAGTTTACATACTCCTGTGGAGTTAGGCACATATAGCGTGCCAGTAAGACATTGTCTAGACGCACCCATGAAGAACCACCAGAATGGTTACTCGTAGGAGAAATTTTAGGTTCTAGAACACATTACTTCTGGCCAGGCAGCACCAGCAGGGACTTAATTTGGAGTCATATATAAAGAGATATCAGACAGTGCAAAAGCATTTGGCTTGTATCTTCTTTATACCGTCTAGCGTCTTGCAATCCATAACGAAGGGCCGGAACTTTTTGTTCAAGAACATTTTACCTAGCTTCCGTTACCGCCATGGCCTTGGTGTAAATTTTGTTCTCCTGAATTTTTACACGGTAATTAATCCTTGTTTTTCATTTTTATAACCCATTTTCAACTCTTTGTTGTCTTGTTTCCTATCAATTATTTCCGAATTGTTTCTCATCACTCAACTTATAAGTTGTCAACCATCTCGGTTATAAATAAATATTCACCGTTTTTCACATAATGTTTATTTTGCTCGGCTGACTTACGTGCTCTCATTTAAATCACATAAGAATTTTTCATACTTAATTTTAAACTGTCAGTGATCTAGTGGGTAGAGAGACAAATGTTATAAACATTTGAGAACTAATTTAGTGAGTATCCATATGCTAGTTAATTGCTCATGCAGTACCGAATTTCGCTGCAGGAAGTACAGTAAAACACTTCAGTTAATGAAATGTTATTTCCGAATAAGAAAACATATGGCGGTAAAAGGAAGACTGGAATTTTGCTTAAGAATAGGGCGCTATGAAAATGCAATAAATTAAATCTCTAGTGCAAAGGCATTCAGAATAACTAATTTTGCTTTCAGGGTTAATTTCATTGGTTTTTCCTGCTGTCCAGGGAAGAAGTATCGCACCTTCATTATTTATTTATTTTAACTTTACAGCATGATCAGCCTCTGTTGTGTACAGAAGCATTCATTGTAAATAATGTATCAGTTAGATCAGTTTATTCTTAATGTGCTTTGATGTCCATTTGATTTGTACAATTTCCTCTTCCTTTTACATTTACACATAAATGTTAATTCCGAATATTTAGCTGACAGAAGTCAGCTTGAATTCAGGACCCGGTCGTTCGTGTCAGAAGGCGATGACAGATCTGAAGGTCGGATGTGAAAAAATAAAAGAATGTTTTGCGTCCAATAGTAAACAGCAATGTGTCTCTGTATGTAACGGTTATTGTGTGAATATTATTCGTGGATGCCTAGCTCCATCTCTTTTTTCGTCTTCGGAACAGTCGACTGCCCTAACTGAGGAGTCAATGTGGAGTTATAAGAATTCGTTAAATATCAGTGCTCTGTTTGCCTCATTAAATGCTACTACTATATATAACCTTATAAGAAAAGGAATTCATGAGGTGAAGGAAAATATTGCTTCGATTAAAATAAAAGTAAGTAACGTCCACCCATTGCAGACTTATTATCTGAAAGGTGTTGCTTAACTAGTTTGTAACCCCTCTATTTACCAACGCATTGTTTTTCTTATTTTGTGTTTCTTCATCCTATAAAATTAAATTACATTCATTAGTATACAAGATATTATGGGCTAAGATTGTTCTTTCTCTCAAAGACGCTTTACGCCAGGGCAGCTGTATGGCTTCAGTTTTAGTGAGCTCCAGGATAGGATAATGAATCCATAGAATTTATCAATAGAGTAAAGCTAATGACTGTTTGTTTGGAACGCATACAGTGTTTGATATATTGTGAGTTAACTTCTTGGGGTATTACAAGAACATTAAACACTGTGGTGAATATCGTTCTAAATGTTTCTTGTTGAAAAAATATTTATATTCTGTACCTCTCATAATGGCAGATATAAACAGTTTATGGAGTGGCGTATTCATGAAAAACAACAGGAATTTTTATGTAACTGTAAAAGCGGCTGTTAAAGAAACATCGATCAAAGGTTTGTGATTTTAAGGAGGACGGGAAAAACCAAAGGTAATGAAAGAAAAAGCATCCTTTATACAAAATAGTCCACCTTAGGTAATTGTGGGCCATTGGCAGGGATTCAATTATCACCAGCAATAAGGAATAGTCACATGACATTGGTTACTGCCTAATGGCAGATAGTTATGTAGTTGTTATATTATTTCCAAATATTAGAATAAATGTGAAGTTTGTTATATCATCAGTCGTTTTAATTTGTCATAAGAAGCGTTATATATGCACATAAGAGTCTTGTAAACGTTGACTTAATCATTTTCACCGCATAAAAGGTTTGGTAATTTAGGCCAAAATTTGATTTCCCCGTAAAATGTATCAGGGATTGCAATAAGTAGTCTTTTGTTGACATCAAATGAGTGAAAACAACGTAACATGCTCGATGGAAAGTTTGTACGATCACTTTATGATCAAAAAGACATAAGTACTGACAGCACATTTTGTCTGACATATTAATAGTAGAATCCAGTACGTGCCTTCATCACATTTGTGAACAACAGTATATGAATAATGAAATAAAAAGCAAACGTGAAATGCAGTACGAACAGGAAGATAACTAATTTTTTGACTGTTTATAATAACTCTGGTTTTTGAAAGCCCAGTAACTCCCGAGTAAACTTCTCGTGAAGAAAATCAGATAAAGGGCATTAAGACTTAAGAAGCACCAAATAACTTCAAATTCTTTGGTATTTGGTCTGGGTAATATTGCAGGAGATCGGTCTTAAAAGCCAAAATATGTGCTTAGTAATTTGTAAAAGACAAACGTTTTGCGAGTGCTTCATGCAGTTTCTAAAGTGAGTGGAGAGGAGTGGGTTACTAGCAATGTTTCTTGTTTTACCTTTAAATGTCACACAACGATACAGTATTAACAACTGGATGACGTTTCTAGCACAAATTATCGCTCATAATCATATCATATTATTGGAACATAGGAATTTAGCTGGACTTATAATAATTGACCCTACCAAGTTCAATGACTTAGAAAAAAGCTCAGCCAGTGCATTGCACTCACATGCCTACAATCTCAAAATAGTGTGTGTGGGATAGGATGAGAGCATTAAAAAGTAATACAGTTAGGTGGAGAGAGAGATTAATTACTTAAGCTTTGTTTATCGATTCAACACCGCACACGTGCAATCGGAATGACACAGTGCCTATGCCGGAGATATGGAAAATGGCAACAGACAGCAAATGGGAAGTTGGAGAGACAGAAAGAGAGGAAATACATACAAGATAAATTGTGAAACCGTGTGACTAAAATTGATATGATTATGAGTGGCAATAATTTATGCTTGAAACGTCATCTAGTTGTTAACATTGCCTTGCTGTGCGATATTTAAAATAAACTTATCTAATATGGGAATACATTCTACCATAGTGCCCACATTACACACTTACATTATAGTTTGTTTTAATTTTGAAATACTGGTTAATGTATGCTGAAATCTAGATATGAAGTGTAATTTAAGCAATCGTTTGACTGGAAATTTGGGAGCTCCTGCAGATGGATAGCAGTGCAAAAACAACATTCCAGTTCTGTGACTAAAAACATTCACCAGAACCACAGAAATATCAAAGAAATTAGAGTGGAATTAAGTGGCCATTCATTCCTAGATTTTGTTTAGTAGCAGTCCAAATTATTCAGAATTCTTTGAAAATTAAATTGGAACCAAAGTACATTTTGCTCTATCCTGATTGTTTTCCTGATTTCAGTTCAAAGAATAATGTTAATAAAAAGTATATTTTTAACAATGCTAATCAGTTTTCTTACTCCAGTTCATGGAACATCACTAGTGAATGTTTACAGTGTGAATATAGGAATAATCTATTGGAAGGCTTTGAACAAAATACCCTAAAATGTACAAAAAATTCAGTCAGTTATAACTTGACTATTTTTACTTCATAGCTCGAACAGTTCTGTGGAAAAAGCAGATCTCGAACGTTGAAGCAGAGTTCAGATTTATCGAATGGCTTATATCATAATGGATCAGAAAAGAATCGTTTAGAGTTTATACGTGATGTAAATCCCAATCATGCAACTTACAGCAGGCTAACCAATTTCATTACAGAAGCGACAAACAACTTCAGTTTCTTTTTTCACCACAGAGGTAATATTAGGCGATATATGGATAATACTGAGTTACTTTATTGTCCAAAACTAAGTGAAAAACAGTGTTGGAATGGATCAACATTTGGCAGGTATGCATTTTTCAGTGTGGAGGTTTAATGTTATTTAATTCTTGATAACATTGATATGGATGAATATGTTCCACATCTCATTTTACAACCTAAAAATTTAGTCAGTATACTATGGTACCATTAAGTAACTGTGTTAAAGGAAAAATTTATATTATATTTCCTGATTACATTGCCTAATATGGAAACCAGTTTTGCTAACGCAGTAAATTATTTTATCTTATGATAACAATTATTTGTGATAAAGTTGCAAAAAGTTAAACTTACTCACTTTTGTTTGCAGAATACACGATTAGCGCAGATGAAGTGCTGTCATTTGATGTAATATTTTTCAGAAGTGGGATTAGCTTAAGGAATTAGAAATAGCATGAAACTGTATTTGCATCCAATGGTTTATTATATATATATATATATATATATATATATATATATATATATGAACCGAGACAACAGTGTATGCTGAAATCATGGACAGTGATACTCGAATACCGTTTCACAGACTGTTTTCTTCTTGATTTGGAACTGAAACCAGAACTCATGATTGAGCACAGTTACATTTTAATCAATTATTAAGAAATATTGGTGAACAGCACTATTTTCCAGATGAAATTTGAGAGAAAATCAATTGTCTTTAACATTAGTAATGTAATCACGAATTCCAAAATTTGAATGTTGACGTGAGTGTGATCGACATTTTTTGCTGTAAGTGCTGTTGACAAAATAATACTACCGACATGTAGTAAATCAAATAAGCAGTCTATTGTGTAAACATCATAAAAGCTTGGTTTTTACTGATTTGCTTACATTTTTTAGAGATGTACTACAATAAACAGCTACTTTTTCTCAATTTTGGTTAAATAGCTAAAATAACGAATTCTTTAAAGAAGTATTAATTGTAAAGTATACTACAGTAAGATGCCACCAGTTCAGTATATTCTTACATCAGTTCCTGTAGTAAGTTACGGAGTACTATCCACACGAAGTAATACTTCTTAACCGAATGATGCCTACTTCTTGATTAAATGTGAGTAAATAGATTCTAAAACCACTTTGTATGTTTAGAAGAAATTACAACACATTATAGTTAATTTTTAAAACAAAGTGCTCCGATCCAAAGAGATTCAGTTTTTGTTCTACCATTGGAGGGTATTTACTGCTTATTCTACTGAAAATGTTTAGTTTTTCTAATGTAAGGAAAACCTACTTTACGTGTTCCAGTGAAGCAGGGTCTCTATAGGTTGCTACTGATTGCTAATGTGAAATATTTCGGGAAGCGTAAATCAGTTTTGTGCATTAAAATAATTATAAGCAGGAAGAACTCAAGGGTCAAATAACTTATGTTGGTTAGATCAGCTGTGTGACAAGTGTGATTCCTCTTTATCACCTACATGATGAATACCTTCTACCAAAACATTTATCAACAGTATACGTTGATGTAAATATCTGAACAAAAAGAAGTTCAATCTCTTCTTTCAGTAGTTTTTAAGAGACCTGTACGAAATGCTAGTAGTTATTTTGACACCATATTTTTTGAATTAAAATGAAATACAATGACATCTAAAGTTTTTATTAGCTAAAAAGGGTAATATAGTTATTTAAAACTATCAGTTATTCAGCATTAAGCTGACAATAAACGCTGGTTGAACCATTCGATAATTTGTTGTCCCTAAATTTTTATTACTTTGGTGTTTATACAAAACAACTGTTGTTTATATTATTTAGTGACCTAATGTTGACTGTATATTTTCTGAACGTAAATGCGACCTTATTATTTACCATAAAATGGATCCACCAGTAAATGTAAGGATAATATGTGGAACTGTATACTAGTATTATTTAAGTGGAATCTTACCAAATAAGTGCATCAGCCATCAATCATTTCACTAAATTAATTTATCTTGCAAGAAAACTACTAAATTTTGTTCACAAAACATTAATGAAAACGACAATAACAATCACTGCATTAGTCTGAGATAAGTTCAGACCTTTCTTCATTAGGATAAAACAAACAAATTGAATTATGAGGTTTTTCAACATCATGAGATATGAAAAGATATTGAAAGCTCTGCATATGCGGCAAAAATTACAGGAATAGCAGTTTAGTAAAGCTGAGCAAATGTGTGCTGCAACTGAATGAATTCCAAAGTTAGAATATTCACGAGGCTAATGAAGACCATTTCATACACCCACTTGCTCTAACACGACCAGAACACCGTTCTCGCCGCAACCGCTTTTCATTTTTTTGCTTGATTTCCTAGTCTACTCCTGTTATTACCATTACTTTATAAAAGTAATAATTTTTTATTGATAACACTGCATTTATACAGATTTCATACTAATACTTTTCTGTATTTCCACTAGTTTTTGTCCACTTTGTCCACTCAGACTGATTAGTTCGATGTGTCACACCTACTACACAATTGAAACTTTCGTTTTCTGTTCTTCATATAGTATTTACCTTCTAGACCACATCTCACATTATATGATACATTTTCTAGTACACGGTGACAATTATTTGACGGGTTTCATAAATTCTATACAAAATATAAATACGACTATGTAAACTGTAGGAAACCATTTATTGAATGGAAAAGTTTCCTTGCTGTTAGGTCTTCTTTCTTAATGTCATTTATGAATCGTAATGTTTCTTTTAAAGTGACTTGTATTGATTCCGATACATTGGTGAATACAATCTCACTTATCTAATTAAATAATTGTTTCTGCTTCTTCGAATTGTGAACCAAAGAAGAAAATTTAATTGAATTTGAAATTTTTCCGTCGATTGATTGGACCGAAGTCCTCAGTCTCTGGTTGACATGTCGGCTTCTTGTGCAGATGCTTCGACGATGTCTGGGCATTTAGTTAGTATTTAATTGGTGGCTGGTGGTGGATGGTGACTGGCAGTGGAATCGAAGATTCGCATTTCGTCCTATTTGGGAGTCGTCAGCTGGATGTGCCTGCATTCCGAAGTGAGTGATGATGTTCCCACCGAGGCTCGAACCCAGTGCCCATAGTTTCAAACGTCAAAGCGTTATCCACTAGACCACTCGGACCACGACAGCCACCTCTTGTTCAACGGGTCATATTAATTTAAGTGAATTTGGAAGAACTTTTTAAGAAATATGCCTCTCAGTTTTATTTACACATTTGTGATTTAAAATGTTTACTGTGGACTACTCACTTTGAATTTTGATTTGTTTTTCCCAGCACCATTGTTTTGTAAGATGTTTATCAATAGTTTCTTTCAAAAAGGATTCTGTTTTCTCGTAAGGAATATGTCATTAGTATTATTATGATTATAGGAATTGATGGTTGTCCATTGCACACTTTAAATTATTAAAAGGTATACAAAAAAAGTCCCAGAATTTACTATAAATGGTCAATTGAATAATCCAGAAGTGAAGGTAACTGGTGGTGAAATAAGATTACAGACGTCCCAAGAAAGAAATACCGGAAGGAAACAACCCTCTACGGACAACCTTTTTCACAAGGTATTTTACCTCTTAAATGTTTAATTTTCACAATAAAATATCTTGATATTGTTTTCAGTGGGGTCTTGGTTGCACACTTAATAGTGAATAGCAATCAGAAGATAATTAATCTGACATGTATGTACGCAAGACGCTTCAGACGATCTGATTACACATATGCCTGTAAATTTGAACAGGGTGTAAAAATAGTCAGACTATGTAAAATAACCTTAGATTGGTAAGTTTTTGGTGTACTGGGGGATGACTAAAGGTGAAATAAAAATCTGATTGTGATAAACTCAAACATTTCAAAACTGAATCACTATAGGATGAAAAGTCTATTAAGAGGTCAGAATCACTGATAAGATATGAAGGAAAAAGGGAAATATTTTGTTATGCAGATAACTCAGAGCTTTAAAATTGGCTTACAAATAAAACTTCAGTGTAATAACAATTGAATTTTGAAAGCATAAAACACATTTAAGTATTTTTATGACTGTGACCTCGATGATTTAAAGTGTTAGTATTTCGAAACGGCGTCGAAAGGAACTTTATGACTTGTTCGTGTGATGCGCTTTGCAACAGATGACTTTGAGTAGTTGAGTTAGGTCATTTAATATGTTTTTCAAGCCATTCGGTAATGTGTTGTTTTAGCCCTAACCTGCTGAGATCGATAGACCCTTTCTATTTACATATGACAGTAAATGTAAATTTTTGAATAAAATGTGACAATATCTTTCAAATGCTGTGAGGGTTTGTGGTAAAATATAAATTTCTGTTTCTCTATAAAACTGAGCTTGGCTACACAGCGAATTCAACAGGGTTCACTTTGGTTTAGTGACCAAAGTGTGGCGATTATCGTAAAACGGGAAAGTTTAATACGTCCTAAACTTCATTGATATTGGATGGCTTGTGTTCACTGATATTACTTTGAACTTTCGTCATTAATCTAATTTGGAAACCAAGCATTATTTGCAGAATAATATCCCCTTTTATTTTCCTCTTATATGTGATTTTGACCTCTTCACAGACATTTCGACCAGTACTATTTCTTGTTTGCCCCTTTATATCCTGTTCAGTTTTATGCGAATGTGTGACAAGTGTGAACAGAAATGCGTTACGCAAATACACTGTATGCGTCATATAAATTACGCCTTCTTTTTTGTCTAAATTCATAGGGGAAACCAGCTGCTTTGAATAGGAGTCGAACCCAACACATATGGTTCGCTCCATATCAAAACTAGCAGATATATTTTTCAACATATAAATGACTGCATTTGTTGACAGGCTTGTTACATACATAGAAAAATAGAATCCAAAAAGGTGGTTTAAGAATTTTTAAGTTTAAAGTGAACTAGGGGTACACAAAGAAGAAGCTTATATTCACCAGGGTACATTAAAAAAGAATTGTTCTTTTTCAGAATCGAATGAATGGACACAAAAATCGAATTTTTTAAGATGTGATAATTTCTGTTATCACATAAGTATAATTAAACTGGTTAAAAGATTTCTCTTGTTTTCGGGCATTTCCAAGTATAAATTGAAACAACTTGCAAGAATTAGGAAGGATTGCACGTGAATGCACTAAGCATGGGTAGTAATTGATGCATCTGAAATCATTTAAAAAACAAATTCTTAGTTTTTTAAAACAAAAAAAATGGAAATTAGTTTACAACATGTCATGTATATAACATATTATTCGGAAAGTATTACCTCCATTTTTATGCAAGTAAAGTACTGCAGTTATTTAAAGATTACATGGAGGTTCTCTGCAGTTTGATATTTAATTTCACCTACACTTAAATAAGCGCAGTTTCGTTACTTTGCCTTTACAGGTAAATCCAAGGAATCGTTCTGTATCACCTAGTATAGACATCGAACTGAACTATTCTGAAATTAAAAATCAGTTTGATGAAGAATCCAGTGGTCTGCATCCTCAATTCTCAACTACTGATTTGGAAATACCAAGAGTAGAACAGTTCATCGCAGGATCACAGGAACCAAAAGTTATTGCTAATGTTGATCACACATCAGATGACAGCGCTTCGGAATCTCTGCCAGACAATATTGTAGTTCAGGGATGTTTCGCTGATGATGAAGATTGTGAGTTGAATTTCTCTGACAGTCCTATAGACAATGACGCTAACAACATACAGTACAATTTGTTTCGAAAAAATGATTCTCAAAAACAATCACTTAAACTGCTTGAAGGACTGAATGGTACGTGTTGACTTTGGAATAGTGGGATTCAGAATGTTTTACTTTTATAGGAGAATAGGACTTCCACTTCTAATTTAAGATAGCATATACATAAACTGTGGTGTAGTATTTTGCAAGTAAGTGAGCATATCTAAGTGAGGAAATTCCTGTTTTCACTGAAGTTGATAAGAGTTAAGACTGAGAAGATTACAAATCTGGAAGAGTTACAATCTGATACTTTATTCAATCTTTTGTGTTTGCAGTATCAATTGATAGATGGTAATCACAGTTAAGTGGCTTTTTTCTAACTTGTAATTACCATTAACTTACATTTTGTATCAGTAACCTTCGGATGACTGCAGGTGAAATAGTCACTTGGAGATACGATTGGTACTTTGTAATGTGATTAGAAACACGGTGTTTTATAATCATTTGGGATGATGGAAAAGGTTGTGATAATTTTTGAAACTGAAGTAACTTTTTAAGACTTAGTTTTCAGTTGAAATCACCAAACGTTTATAAGCAGTAGCTCTTATGATACTTAGAAGCAGCTAAGTACTTCAAGGCAGAAACATTTCGAAAATGTTTCCAGGTAATATTAAGTCTACAAGAGATCAGTTACTGGGACAAAATACATTAAAAGGAATAATGAAACACATTTTCGAATATATCAACTAAATTAATTTAAAAAATGATTCAGATAAGTTTTCGAATATCTTAGTGAACTTAATTTACACTACTTGTAAGACTGGACCTAATTCAAAATAAAATGCCATTTCGACTACGCAACTGTATTGAGATGGCCTTGTAAATGGATTTTATTTACATGGAAAGCATTGTTGTTGTTCCTGATTTCATCTAATGATACAATAAAGATAATAATATTACGTTAACACAACAGAAAATATCAAACACAAAATCCTTTTGTACAGGAAGCTGCGGGAAAAAAGTATACAACTGCATGCATACTTATTTTTCAGGAATCTGACAGTAAGGATAGTAAGTTACTTATTTTATTAAATGTCGTAGGCACAATGGTTTAAGTGAACAGGTTTAAAAACTGATGGTTGAAAACTAAAAAGCTATGAATAGTAAAGTTAATCTCCTGGTGGTATCGCCAGTAGACATCACTGTAGAGTCTTAACAGAGAAAAAACTGCTTTTCAGAGTTCTACAGTTTCCAATGGTTCTCAGACTGTTGTAAATTTGTAAAGGAACAAATTTACTGATATAGTTATCCTACAAATTATGCAAAACATTCATTTGAAAGTATGAGATTAGTAGTAATACACTTTTTTGTTCATTCACCTTTTCCTACATTGATACTACTGGATCAGAAATGTGGTTAAGGTGTAAAGCTACAGGATATTATGTGTAACCTGTAATGTATATTACCTCAAGTATCAATTACCTCAAGAGTTATCATAAAATGTAAACTGACAGTTTTCACTCATATTTCAATGGCAAAGAAGCAAATAGAAGTTGATTAATATTATGTGCATGTATAGAGAAGTATTTTTGTACTTATGAAACTAATCAAACACAGCTAGACTTGTTAACCTTTAATATTAAGAAATTATTTATATTTTACAGAATTTTAACTAGACACTTATAAACTAGTATAATTATCCATGATTATTTGACGTTAAAATTGTTATTAGTTGATTAGTAAAATAGATATGAAGAAAAATAAATGCTTGTTCTGAAGTACAAGTTTAGGAAACAATTTTCGAATGGTCGTTTTATCAATAATCAAATTTTAAACTTTTGCGTTCTTACAAAATATTCACAGTGTGCCGATGCGGAGCTGCTAGAATATATATATATATATATATATATATATGCACGAGAGTGATGATTGGATGGCCTCAAATTAATCTGACTTCAGGTAACACTGATCGCCGAGAACGACAGTGGCTTGGTGGAGTTTCACACTGCAATTGTTTAATTTTTACTCCTAGCCTAAAACCTTGCATCTACCCAGATATTATTTATCATGTTATTCCATCTAGGCAATGTGATATGTATCCATATGACTTTAAGAAAGACTTCTCTGTTTGTTGTGAAGTTGAGAAGCATCGTTTCAACTACAAGCGAAACCGACGAGGATATCAAAGCAAGAATCGGAAAATCAGGACAAGCTTTCATTACTCTCAAGTCTGTGTGGAGGTCAACGGCACTCAGCATGAAGAAAAAGATCCGGATTTTCAACTCCAATGTGAAGTTAGTGCTACTTAACATACGGATCAGAGACTTGCATTGCGCGTCGTAAAGAGCATCTCACACAAACTACAAACCTTCGTCAACAACTATCCTCGCTTAATACTCAAGATTAGATGGCCAGGAGAAATCAGCAACAGGGATCTCTGGGAGTATACTAACCAGAAACCGACTGTGTAACCAATAAGCAGGAATAAATTGAGATGGATTGGCCATAAACTGAAGAAACCATCAAGTGACATCACTAGACAAGCCATCGCTCGAGTGGAACCCGAAAGGGAGGCGGTGAGTAGGTCTTCCGAGAGTGACTTGGAGGAGGTCATGTGAAGAGGAGATGAAAACATGTGGGTAGACCTGGAGCCAGGTGAAAACTTTAGCAGGGAACCGAATGCAAGGGAGACGTGTAGCTGAAGCCCTATGTCCCTCTGGGAGTTAAAGGAAATAGTAATAATAATAATCTTGAAGCGAAACTTTAAAAAATCCTCAATGTGTGTGTTTAGAGTGTATTTTGAAGTGGCTTATCGAAATCTTATATGGCTTAAAATATCGTCAAATTTAATCGACAGTGATGGCATGAATTGTATAACAAATTTGTCTACTATAAATTACGTTGATTTGATATACTAAACTTATGCCCGGGACATTTGTATTGTGCTTCTTGAAGAATCTGCAATTAAACGAACTAAATTTCCAACGTAGAACGTTTCAAGAAAGTGTAGCACTGCACAAATACAAAGATAACGACAGATAAGGAAAATAAAACTCAAAGAAGTAGACGAAAATATAAGGAATAAATAATATTTTTGACAAATAATGAGAATTTAAGGAAACTGAGAGTTTATGAACAGTGGATGCATTTGCGATAATGAGGAAGATTTTGAAGCATATCATCAATAGTTTCCAGATAATGAGTCTTAGGGTGTTTAGGACCCTGACCACTAAGTCAACACCTCCCTATTTGGCTAGAAACAAAAGCCGAAAACAGTATGGATTGACACTGTATTTTGTACTGAAAACTTTAACTCGTTTTCTACTTAACCCTACATCGGAAAAGGGAGGTAATAGAATGTTCACTGTTCCACAAAGATTTGAGCTGCTCATATATATATATATATATGTATATGTAGAACCTATTTTTCTTTAGAGCTGTTTTTTCTTTTTCTCTTATCTGAAGGTGATGGCTTATATGAGGGAAGAAAATCAAAGCCTATGGAGAAACCTGAAACAATCGCAAAACAATCAATAAATTCTTCGGCAGTTAGTAGGTCATCAGCATTGAGACTGAGGCATAATACTGGCCCAATGAATAAAACATTTTATCGACTGATAAAATTCCTTGGCATATTTTTATCACTTACTTTTTCTATGCACACTTAATATGAACAAAATGAGTTTGGATATACTTTTTCAAAATTACACCCAAATTCCTGTGTACATTGGGCTATATTCTTCACCAGCTATTTTGCTCACAATGTTTTTCATTATTTTGCCATATTTCACAATCCTATTAATTATTTTTCTATGCGAACACTTCCGTTTCTTTCCTAAAAGTTTCAGCATTTAAAACGTTGTAAACCATATTAATTTCAAACTGTGGTATGATACTGTCTTAAATAACTGGTGTGCTTCAAAATTACGGGGTTATCTTTATATTTCCGCTAGTATTCACTAATGCCTGATAATGTCATTTGATTTGCTTTTTGTGTTATTATTGTCTGTTTGTTTTCTTCGTCTTTTTGGATTTTTATATCGGACCCGCATAATACTATAGTGTACCGCTTTGAACTAAAGGATATCTAAAATTCCTCCCAGAGTACTCATTTACTTGAACAGATGTCATATTGCAGTAAAACTGATATTCCACCTTCAAATACAAAACGGTTGTTTATTTCAAAGGTTCTTTTGAAAAAATTGTGTCATATCACTTGGCTGCTTTATATTTTCAGCAAAGATGATTCTTTTTCATCAAAATAATATAGTAAAGGACATAAAAGGATGATTATGAAAGTAAAACAAGTAACCAAAGGTGAATACAATAAAGTAGAAAATGAAAAGATGAAAAATGCCGTTTCAATTTTATGCTGTTCAGATAAACAGGAGCTACATTACTGATAGAAGCACAACCTGTAAGTAACGAATAATTACTAAGTAGTGAAATGTTTAGCATCTCGGTAATGATAACTGCTAGGTGAATAGTTTCCAATGTGATTCATTTTTACCATCACCCCATAAATGCTTGTAAGATTGGCATCTATTTAATGTACCGAGAATCTCCTCCATATAATGCAGAACAGGTTTGCATTAATACCTAGTAACTTAGTTTACCAGTTTCATCTCCTTGCCACGGTATCTACATCGTGTTAAATACCTTGTACATTGGTCACTACCAGACATTAAGACATGTAGTAAATAAACAACATCCAATATTTGTTTAGGACTGCGTGGAATAACTAAAGAGCATGATGAATCAATAAACCAAGTTACTTGTAAGTGATAAACTGGAGAGACTCAGCTATTTTACTAAAATTTAGAATTCCCCAATTGCGTATAGAAACATTTCACTCAGTATAAAAAGTAAGCCTTAGATGTAGAATTACTCGTAAATGTTGTTTCACTTCAAAGATAGTTCATAATAAAAGGTGTGTGTGAAAAAAGGTTTTGGAGAAATACTCATTGTAGATGTTTTTGTCATTAGTGAAACAATTATGATTAATCCATTAAAACAAAGCCAACTAACATTATTGAACTCCTGTATTCATAGCAGAATTAAAGGCAAGTCAATAAAGTTCTCCTCAAGGTTGTAAGTTTTTAAAAAAATTCTTATTCATAAAGGCCACTAAGCTATCTAATTACTCAGCAAATGTTGTATAACAAGAAAAACATAAATTTCTCTAGTGCCGACAATGTTTGAAACAAAAATACTGATTTCTAATATTCGTTTTGAAGCAATGCTTCTTTTCATACGATAAAAATAGAAAATATTCTAGTTGAACGTAATGTTATGAGATAATTAACTTGATCGCAAATTTAGGCAAGAGAGATTGGTTCAATAATGCTTCAAAGTAAGTGAAATTATCGATAAATACTAAAGCTTTCAAAAATTATATATATATATATATATATATATATATATATATATAACAGTGTTGAGGTCACTTCATCAATGTTGTTTATTATTAGATTTTCGGCTACATTTACCAAAACAATCAAAAGGTTTATAAGAATTGAGGGCTAACAGTATCCGGTATTTTGCTGGATTATTCTAATGCATACAATTTAAAATGTACCAGATTTCGAACACAAGTATTCCAAAGTATTTGAAGTGTATATTAACACGCCGTATACTGTCAGCTGATTAGTACTTAGAACAATAGTAAAAGTTATTAAAATAAACAAAACGTGATTTATAATGATATATATATATATATGTTATCAATTACAAACATTAAATCTGTTGCGCGTTGGTGAAAATATTCAGACTGCGATTTTACCTAAATATCTAAGCAAGTGATCTTAGGCGCACTTGTTCTCCTGATCACTTTTGTCTACTTTGACACAAATTTTGTCAATAAAACTATCGCGTTTATTTTCTTAATAAATTTAACATTTATGCATAGTATATGTGATCGAAAAATCGAGCAGAACATTAACTAATGTATGTGATCTGAATGTTTCGGTTTCCAAAAGAAACCGTGGTGAAATATGTTTTTTTTTGATGGCGTTATTAGAAGACGGAGACTATCTGAAAAATGTGATATATATGTGTAAAACTTGGGCACTGTGGTTGTATGTAATTCCACATTATTTTTTGTTTATGAGATATATCATACAGTGAAACAGTATTATTTACTGGATGACGTTTCTAACGCAATTTAATGTTCATAAGTGATATGATTATGTGTGTGAATTATCTAATAAACAAATGTATATGAAACCACGGTGAAATGTCATCCCTAGAACTGCGTTCATTGCAAACTGATAACTAATTTGCAAATTTTGAATTCAAAATTGAGCACTTTATTTACTTCACGTTCCCCAGTGGAACATAGGGCCTCAAGCTAGTGGCTTGAAGTTTCTGTAACATTATTTTATTTTTACAGGATGGGGTTGCTAGACTCATGCCCAACCTTTCCCCTTTACCAGGATTATTTCTGGCTTAGCGAAGTAAAGGAGTGAGTCGACCGGGGATGGAACCCCGGACTATGTGCATGGTCGGCGAGCATCCTAACCACTATACCACCGGCGCACAAATTGAGAACTACTGAGCGTTATTTTAAACATATATCTGATATTGTGACATCTGGTGCAAACCGGCCACAAAGCCAACGTAGATGAATCCTTCTCTATATTATACCGGGTGCCAAATAAATTGCCAAAAACATCGAAGCACCGCAGGCTCTAAACATCAGAGGCTATTGCGATCCGCCTCAAACAACCAGAGCTCTGTATTCAAAAGAAGCAAGTCCAGCCCCTACTATTGCCCTGGCCTTCTGTAGAAACTATAAACTCATGAATCTGTAATACTATCCTTCCTAATTCTTCTCACATTCACCTTATTTCATGTTGGTGCGATTCAGCTGTAATCTATTAATATTACTGATTTGATGTTATTTAAACATTAATGTCATTCATAACACTAACCCATTCATTCACTATGATGTATATATGACTGTAGAGCCTGATGATGAATTTATCGAAAAGATTACTCTTTGTTCAGTATCCATTCTTTTGAAAATTACATTATGGTCATTCGGTGGATGAAATGTTTGCTTACTCTTGTATAAACTTAAATCTGGGTCTCTCTACTCTTAACGCTTCTATAATTTTTTTTATTGAACTACAACAGCGTTTTAACAGTTGATATAATGAACAATTTGTATTTCCTCCACAAGTATGTTCTTCGGCACATCGAACAGCATAAAGGCCTACTATATGATTATTATCTGACTTTTTCATAAGGAGTAAAATTAACTAAAAATCAGTTGTATGGACTGATAATTTTGACACTAGTGTACTTTAAATGAACGCGAATTATAGGCGTGATATCAATCTGTAATTTAAAAAGCTTCCTGCGAAAGATGAAAATGAATAAACTGACTTTCGAAAATATTTTTCATATGTCTTAAATGAATATTATAAAACAGAGTTAAGCCAGGTCATTTAAATATATGAATTTAATTTTCGTGTTGTTTGTTTCGCGTTTTTGGAATGCTAATTGAACTAATAAATGCATCTACTACAACTTCAGCTCGAAATGAGCTTATTTATTATAATTTTTACGTAATTTGTCTCAACGGTAAAATGTATTTAAGCAAATAAATTACGGATGAATAGTCTTTTCCAATGGTTTGAACAAAATTCATAAGGTGAACTCATTGTTTCAGATTAATTAAACTGTTATATTTACAGCTGTTGATTTACAACATGATTAGTTTTAGAATAAAGATACACCGGTTAACTCTTCATTAAGTGTTTACTGATTTGAAATAACCCCATTTCTTATTTCATTTCTCGAATATTTTGAAGATTTGATTGTTTGAGATTAAACGTTTTGTGACGTAGACTTTTTTTAACGGTGCCTTAGAAATAGGTAATATGACTTAATTCATTTCTAAACACAATTTTTGTCTCACACCTCATAAACGGATGATATGTGCACTTCATGCACCATCAAACATTATGATTGTTTACTGGTTGACGAAAGGTGTTTCCTATCATTTTTAAGGTTTTATAGCCTAATTTTAACTTTACTGAACTGCTTAATTTCGTGAAACAGATTATTTAACTCTTCCATTCAAATAAGAAATAAATAACAGGACTGTTGTGCGAAATATTGGTGCTACTTATTTTTGAGTTAATAAATCTTGTGAAATAAATACTTGTGTGGCATCATATTAGTAATATACTCATAAATGCAATCTAGAAAAGTATCTCTCTCAAATAAACAATTTGTTTATTACAATAACATCAGCATGTCATTATTTGAATAAAACAAGAACTGAGGACATGAAAGAAATCTACAGAACCGTAGCACACATTAAGATCATATTTGGGAAAGGAAATTATTTGCATTTTGAAATAAACGTCAAAATGAATAAAAGGAGAATTATAATAAATGCATACAATATGTTGATACAATTCCTACTTGAAGCGTAAAATGTTGTGTGATACATAGGCAGAGGAAAAAAGTGCTGCAAATTTGGATGGCCAACAAACATTGAAAGAAATGTGAAAATTTATGAAGTAATCTGAAATTTATGATTTTGTAAGTTTTACGTCATTTTAATTTCATCGTCCAATTCTGAATTGTATTACAGAAAAAATTCTGACATTTTAAATAAAATTATTGTCTCAACAGAGGAATAATTAATAAATAATTTCTTGTACACTTTTAATTTTTCTTTTAATTGTTGATTTTTGATTATAGTTTGATTCCACACAGTACTTTTGGTAGAAGTATGGAATTTTTAGCATGTGATATCAGTAGCCCGAATTTCGCGGGCCGACCATTGATATCAAGTGTGCGTTGGCAGGGGATCGGTGAGAGTCGTAACCGCTGTGCCACCGATGCACATAAGTCGAACTAGCTGCGATGAGGCTGGAAGAGTGTGGATCTCTACAAAATGATTCTGATACACTTAAAAAGAAATTTTGAGGTAAATAGATGTCAACATGAATATTGAATTTGCATGCAGAAATATTGTCACATGCCGCCTAGAACAAATACAATTAACCAATTATTATGTTGCCAATAAAAGTCATCCGTTTTTCTTTTTCAACTTGAGCCTCATGTAATTCAAAACTGTCTTTTCCCTAAAGGAACAGTACTTATCATCTTTATTAGATGCACAATTTTATCCAAAATCAACTTAGTTTTAGTTAAAAGTGTGACCTG